AAGCACTCTCTCTCCAGTGGGTAAGACTGATGCTTAGACTGGAGTCACTCACCAGCTGTTGCAGGTCACAGCATCCACCAGTCCATTCCACTTCCTTGTTCCTCCATGAAGATCTCTGGAGTGTAGATTTGATTTCCCTTTCTCATGAACCATGAACTGGGAGCCGAGGAGAAAGTGCAGATAGTCCCTTACCTTCTCCTCATTGTGTTCTGTCTCCTCAGTTTCTCTATCAGATCCTGTCAGATCCTTCCTGGTTCCCAGGGACCTACTACTCTCTTTTTTTTGTTGTTCTTTTGCAGTGTCTGGATTCTGAATCTTGGAGAGGCTGAGCTGCTGTTGCTTAGCACTCCATTTTCACCTCTTGTAACTTTTTGATTGTTTCTTCTATAACCCGATTGTTCAAGTAAATTTCACTATCTTTTCTGTTATGTCATCTTTTTTTGTTGTTGTTGTTATGTCATCTTTGATCGCACCAAGTTTCTTTGCTTTCTCTTTAATCACTTTGTGCACCTCAGCTATCTGATGTTTGATTTCTCCTTGGATGTGCTTTTGGAGAATTGGGAATTTGCCTTGTTTTTTCATGCTCGTGCGTGTGTGTGTGTGTGTGTGTGTGTGTGTGTGTGTGTGTGTATTGAGTGCTAATGTCACACAGAGTGAAGAGAATTTCTTGTTTGCATGAGGATCTCTTTAGTTAGCTTCTGTTTTCCAGTGATGCATTCTTGGATTTGTCAAGAGGTATTGTTTACCATGTCGGCTTATTCAATTTAATTGGGTTGGACTCTGTTTTTTTGGTGGTTTTTTTTTGTACCGGGGATCAAACTCAGGACCTTGCGCTTGTGAGTCAGGCTGTGACATCGCTGAGCTAAATCCCTGCCCTCTGTTGAGTTTTAAGGAGAAGATTTCCACTAGTTATGACAGTGTCAACAGATCTGACCACACATCAATCATAAGCATTAAAACTTGTTTTGATAGTTACACCCTTTTATCAATACCCCTTACAGGGTGTATTATACTGCTATTTGAAGTTCATCTGGGATGTGAAAGGTGGGGGGATGAGAGGGGAAGGGAACAAAAGGGGTTATGTCAGTGCAAAGAGAGGAAGGTAAGAACAATCCAAGAGCAATGAGGAACTGAGTAGATGAAGATTTGGTTCCTCCCAGGATGTCTTCAGCTGCTGTAATCTTGTCCTGGGGAATCACAGCATCACTGGGTCATTGAGGTCTCAGTTGTGACCGGATGCCAAAATGGAGTCATGTCTCAAAGTGCCACAGCTGGCCTGTAAGCAGGAGAACTAGGCCTAATCAAATGGTTTTTCCCTAAAATTTTGTAGCATTGCCCCTGATAGTCAGACAGTCTTGGATTCAAATCTCAAATCTTTAGTGGCTTGGGGGTCACATTAATTCTTCAGATGTTAATTTTTCTCATCTGTGATAGGCTAACAGTAGTACAATGTAATATAAATGTTAGAAATATTAAGTAAATTAATATGCATAAAGTTACATAATAAATATACAGTATAATTGTTAATATTATCTTTGAAAATGCAACATGCAAGAATAAGAGACATATTAATAAAGACTCAGTGTAAAAAGAACCAGATGATCAAAGAACTGGAGGCCCGTGTCCACCAGCTTACTGTAGAAGCAGAGAACAGTAATTTACAGAGGTAGAAATTAATTCAAGAAAAATCAGAGCTTGAAAGATGTTACCAGATAACATGTAGTGAATTACAAGAAGTGAAAGCAAGGCGAAATATATTGCATAAAGAGAAAGAGCATCTTATAAATGATTATGAGCAAAATATGAGACTATTACAGACCAAATATGATGCTGATGTAAACCTTCCGAAACAAGAAAATGCTCTTTCAACTTCTAAGGCACCTGGTATGATTGAAGAATTAGAACAGAACACCTGTCAATTAAAACAGCAGTTACAGGAATCAGAACTTCAAAGAAAGCAGCTATTAAAGTTTCCAATGGAAAAAAATCACTTAAAATGGACCTATGAGAAAAAGGTTCATGATGTACAGTATAAACTTGATAAAGAAAAAGAAGATGCTCAAAAGAAATTTCATAAATTTGAGGAAACTTGGAAGGAAAAAGAGGAGCAGCTCACTGGTGTGACTGAAGTTCAGAGGCTGCAGGCGCAGCAGGCAGATGCTGCTCTGGAAGAGTTTAAGCAGCAGGTGGAACTGAACTCAGAAAAGGTCTATGCTGAAATGAACGAGCAGATGAAAAAAGTGGAAGCAGATCTAACAAGATCCAGATCCCTTCGTGAGAAACAGTCAAAGTTCTTATGGAAGCTAGAAGATGTGAAACAACGATATGAACAGCAGATAGTAGAGCTGAAGCTGGAGCATGAACAGGAGCATAATGCAGAGAAGGATAGCCTAGTCCGAGACCATGAACGGGAAATTGAAAACCTGGGGAAACAGCTTCACGCTGTCAATATGGAGCACAAAAGTCAAATTCAAGAGTTCAAGAAATGAGATGCACAGGTTATTGCTGACATAGAGATGCAGGTTCACAAGTTGAGGGAGGAGCTCATTAATGTGAACTCCCAGAGGAAACAGCAGCTGGTAGAGCTTGGTCTCCTTAGAGAAGAAGAAAAGCAAAGGGCTACAAGGGACCATGAGGCTGCTGTCAACAAACTGAAGGCTGAATCAGAAAAGATGAAAATAGAGCTGAAAAAGATGCATGCTGCTGAAACAGAGATGACTCTGGAAAAGGCCAACAGCAGGCTGAAGCAGATTGAGAAGGAATATACCCAGAAGCTTGCCAAATATTCACAGATCATAGCAGAACTTCAGACAACCATTTCCTCTCTGAAAGAAGAGAGCAGCTGGCAGCAGCTTGCTGCAGAGAGGCGGCCACAGGATCTTATACAAAAGTTTGAAGATGAGAAGAAGCAGCTGATTAGAGATAATGACCAAGCAATCAAGGTTTTACACAATGAACTAGAAACTCGCTCTAATCAGGTGCGAAGTGCAGAGAAAAAATTACAACACAAAGAACTGGAGTCACAGGAACAGATAACTTATATACGGCAAGAATATGAAACAAAATCCAAAGGGTTGATGCCAGCATCTGTAAGACAAGAACTTGAAGACACAATTTCCTCCCTGAAATCACAGGTTAATTTTCTGCAAAAGAGAGCATCCATCCTCCAGGAAGAGCTGATGACATACCAAGGCAGAAGGTAACTGCAAGAGAGGATGCAATGGGTGCGATTGTCCAGGCTGCACTGCGGACTTCTTCTAGCAGGTTTGAAGAGTTGGATATTGTAAAGTGAACTATGAGATCAATGCCATTTTTAAATACTTACATGTAATTAAGATCATGAAAACATGCATCATTTACATCAATGGGATGGTTTTTTGTCTGCCTAAGTTATTTTTTAACATTTCTTTATTTCTGATTTCCGTATTTGTGTGCCTTTGAGTGTGTTCTGAAAATTGCTTATATTGGAAAAAGAAGTGATTTCTGTGGTATGCCTTGTTAATGCTTTGCATAGAATTTTACTGTTGGGTATGATCAAAATCACGTTTCTGGTATCTTGAAAAGTTTATACCTGTTTACATTGTTTCTATGTTTGTGTTCATATTTTATTAAAATATTATTTTATTTTAAAAAGAGGGAGGTAAGAGAAATGGCAATATGTGAAAAATAGACAGGAGGTTAAACTCTGTGGGAATTATTTTTGTAGCTGGGGTAAAGGGCTAGTGTGGAGGGGATTTGAGAGAGTATTTGTGTAGGCAGGAGGAGGTACACAGAAGGATGGAAGTATACTTAGAGATCGAGGAAGGCTGTAAGAGTGTTTGTACCTGTTAATATATTGGCACCTCAGTTTTACAGGTCTTCCTTGCCTGTAGATACAGATGAAGACATAGCATTAATAACAACTAAAATTCTGCTGCTCCTTGCCCTGGGTTTTGCAGTAGGACCTCAAGCCCCAGTCAAAAGTTATACCAGATCAAGGAATCCTTAGGTAGTGTCTAACATATGTTATTAAAGAGTCCCCTGGTGACATTTTTAATACTGTGCAGCCTAATAAATCGGCACTTCTCCACTCCAAGTACAAGTGCTCTAAAATCTTGAGGCTGATTGTTCTAGTTCTAGCACAAAAGTCATATTTTTTTTCTGTGCATATAGGTTTTGGCTGCATTTTACACTTTTAATATCTAGTAATCTCTGTACTTTCCATTTCTGAATAATTCACAACTTCAGTTTTTATTTACTATATTGTTTGTTGCTTAAAGAATCATGACATTTTTCTCATGGATTACACTTTTAATAATAAAAACATTCTTCTTTTTTTATGATCCTTAACTTGAACTCTGGTTTTCTAATTTTAGTATTGCCATGATGCTTAGCTAGTTCCATGATAGTTTTCCTTCTTTGTATGCATATTTTAGGTATGCATTAAAATATTTTAAATGTTATTATTTTTATTTATTTTGGGTAGGAAATAGACCTGCTCATTTCAGTTCAAACTAACATGATAATAGAATTCTCTTAGATCCATTTTTATTGTTAAATGGTGTGAATCCTAAACTTATGATAAGTGATATTTTAGTTTCCATTTACTGAGAAACTTCATATGTACACATAGATTTATAGAACCCTTGCAAAAACAACATGATTATTGTTTAAGAAAAACTTTGGACAAGTTGAATTTGAGAGTTTATTTGACCACGGAATGATCCATGAATTGGGCAGCATTTGCTTTATATTGTCACGTTTTGGCAGCTGTAGCCACTAATGGGCTGGAGGTTCAGTTGCTGTGATAGGCTAAGATACAGATACTTACTACAAGAGTGTACTTCCATGTTAGGTTACAATCTGTTTACACATGAAATTAAGTCATCATTTACTATGTACAAAGATACCTTTAAACCAAACTTAAAATATGTATGAAACCAACTTTGAGCTAAATTTAGTATGACTCATGTGGCTTTATATACTCTAATTGAGCTGTTTATGGGTTTGGGTGTGGGTAGGTATAAAACATTTGAAGGATTTGCCAATTCTGCCAGGCAAAATATTCAAGTATAAATGGACAGTGACTATAGAAGATGGACCAACTAAATCAGATCCTCGGTGCTTAACCAGATATTATTCCAGTTTCCTTAATCCGGAGAGAGATCTAGCTTCAGGACTCATTGGGCCTCTCCTCATCTGTTACAAAGAATCTGTAGATCAAAGAGGAAACCAGGTGAGTTCATCCTTTCCTAAGTGCTCAGTTTTAAGTTAAAAATGGAATGAGATACATATGAACTTCCAAATATTTCCTATACCCTCTTAGTGTATGCTCCGTAATGGCCTCCAGAAAATACAGTGGTCTGCAATATAGTGTGCAATAAAGAAAAGAAAAATTTAGTTCCACTTAGCTTTTACTGAATTTGAGTTTGATGTAATTAACTTGCCTGCTGGCTGGCTGGAAGAGCCAGGACCCTAGATTCTTTCTATACTAATCATTTCCATTCTGAGACTTAGCTCTCTGGATGATCTTGCCCATTTTTACATGTCCAATTATCATCTATTTTTAGATAACCTACAAATTTTTATCTAAAGCCTAAACTTCTCTGAACATTCTCAATATGGGTGATTAAAAAGCACCTTAAAATTAATGTCCACAGCATCTTGCATAGTGAATGGCATTTAGTAGAAGGCCAATAAATATTTGTTGAGCCAAATACAGGGAAAGATAATAAAATATTTTGGAGTATGATTTAAATTTGGACCACTTCTGCTGCTTTAAAAAATAAAGCTAAATTAATTAATTAAAATTTAAATATCAGTAGCCTTGTGGAAGGGCAGTTGCTAGATGATTGGAGTTTAGGATCAGTGCTAATTTTGTATGACATAAGTAACTTGGATTTTTTTTGGGGGGGGAGGTACCGGGGATCAAACTCGGGTCCTTGCGCTTGCGCAGCAGGCGGCAAAAACACTGAGCTAAATCCCCGGCCCGTAACTTGGATTTTTAAAGAGTTAAAAATTCTCTAATCTGAATGTGGAGAGAATGAGGCTTAGACTACAAAAAATCAACCAACATGTGGCCTTGGATTCAGAAGAAACTAAATTTAATGCTTACAGTCACCCTCTTGATTTAAGGACACACTCTTACCTCTAAACATATACTTACTGCCTATAACATCCACCCCCATTCCCAGGCTCTCTTCATGCCTTAACAGTTACCCTAAGAGGAAATGGAATTGAACCAAAGATTGCTAGTTTCTATCTGATAGTATCAGTAGCTTTTTTTTCAATATAGGGGATTGAATCTACGGCCTTCACTCTGAGCTACATCCCCAGTCCTTTATTTTGAGATAGTGTCTCCCTGTGTAGCCCAGGCTAGCTGCAAGCTTGTGATTCTCCTACCTCAACTTCCTATAGTGCTGTTACAGGTGTGTACTGCCATGCCTGGCTAGTAGCATTTCTTTCACTACGTATAATTAACAGATGATGTCAGACAAGAGAAATGTCATCCTATTTTCTGTATTTGATGAGAACCGAAGCTGGTACCTCACAGAAAATATGCAGCGCTTCCTCCCGAATGTAGCTGGAGTCCAGGCCCAGGATCCAGAGTTCCAAGCCTCCAACATAAAGTACAGTGAGTAAAGCATCACTTCAGTCCGGTGGGTATTGGGTGAAGGGAAATTGGTGTCACCAAACTTATGTCCAGACAATGAATTTAAATGCCATGCAAAAGTCATATTTCTTTAACAATTGTTACCTATAAATACCTGAATAAATGTGATCATATAATGAATATTTTAAAAATCCAGTCACCATTTTTTATTCCAATGTTTACTTGGCTGCCCTTTTTCTTTTATTTTTTATTTTATCTTCTGCATTACACCTTTTCACCAAGCATTCCATGTTTAGGAAGCTCATTTTAAAACATTTTCTCTGTGATTATATAATCACATAATACATACATTCTATTGGTTGTTTAGGGTTGCCAAACAAAAAAGTATTGCTGAGATTTTATTGCTTCACAATTCTGGAAGCTAAATATCTCAGATGAAGTTGTCAGCAGAGTTGGTTTCTTCCTTGGCCTTTCTCTTTGGCATATAGATGCCATCTTCTCCCTGTATCCTCCAATAGTCAACCCTCTGTATTTGTCCATGTTCTAATCTTTTCTTATAAGGTGATTATGGCCCACCCTAATGACTTTATTTAAACTAATTGTCTATTTAATGACCCACCTACACAAACAGTCACATTCTGAAGTACTGGGGGTTAGGACACCAGCATGTGAATTGGAAGCGGGCACAATCCAGCATACCACATACATATGTGTATTCTGAAAATATGCACATAAATCTGGATGGTCAAAAGCATAATAGAAAATTTCAATTTCACTACCCTACAGAGAGAAGCAAAATAGAATACCAATGAGATAGCACTTTATACCTATTCACCGGCAAAATTATAACAGCATTATTAGTGGACTTCTAGGTAAAAGGGTATTTTCATACAATGTTAATGGATGACTAGTATAATCTTTTTCTAAGCACATTGGAGTGCATCCATTAAAATTAAAATAAATGCCTTTTGAAGTGCTGATTATTGTTAAAATGGAACAAGCACGTGTCACCCTGTTTGTTCCACTGAATACAAAAACTTCTGAACCAAATGAATGGAGACAATGTTGGAAAAATTATACTGTGGGTTATACTCAATACTGCCCATATTGGCTTCTATCATAATTCTATGCTCCTTGTCTCTAAGTTTTAGCTTCAAGTTGCGCCTCATATTTAGCTTGAATTTCTAGTAATAATGGTCTTTTGTTGTTCAGTCATAGTCCAGAAAGAATACAATTAAAAAGACTAGGCTAGGGACAGAGATGTCGGTCAGTAGTAACATGCATGACACCCTGGATTCAATTCTCAGCAATCCGGGGGAAAAAGACTGACCATGCTAAATGTTAGTAAACAGGTGGAGGAAGAAGAACTCTCATACGTTGCTAGTCAAGATGGAAACTTGATCACCTGGGCTAAGTTTTTCTTTTCTGTACCTTACATTTTTTTCCTTGTAACTAATAAATACTTTGTAGAGAAATATTTTGAGACCATACAAATAACTTGCTCCTCATCAAACTATCCTCCATCTAATGTAGCATTCGAATCCACCTTTACCATGATAATCCATGACTTTCTCCTTAGTTTGGGACTGAGGCCCACCTGACTAAGTATTAATACTCTACTTTTGGGGGAGGTTTCATTCTATCTTTCCTTGAGGTAATGAGCGTAACGTACAACAATTGCTAATTATGTTACAACAATCATAATTTGAAATAATTCCAGAACACTGTTAAACTTCTTATCCATTGTTTTGCAGGCATCAATGGTTATGTTTTTGATAGCTTGCAGTTGTCTGCTTGTTTGCATGAGGTGGCATACTGGTACATTCTAAGTGTTGGAGCCCAGACTGACTTCTTATCTGTCTTCTTCTCCGGATATACCTTCAAGCACAAAATGGTCTACGAAGACACACTTACTCTATTCCCATTCTCAGGGGAAACTGTCTTCATGGCAATGGAAAACCCAGGTTAGTTATTTATATAATCTTTTCACTGACAGCTGTGCTTGCCTCACTAGCCACTTATATACTCACATTTAGTCAGATAGTAAATAATGCAAATGGTTTTGATATGTGATTTTGCTAATTGCAAGGCATTTTAATGATGGCACCAAATCAAATATTTAACTTAAAAATCTTTGCTCTAAAAAGATGTCTTTTCTATGGGCAAAATTTGTAAGTGTGTTTGCTAAACTGCACTAGTAAACATATATTTATACAGGTAATGAACATTTGGGAGCCAAATATATTTCTGTGTGCCTTGTGAATTATTTGTGTTGCTAAATAAGTACTACCTAGAAGCCTTTGGAAAGCACATAGTAACCTTCCTTTGCACCCAAACCCCCAAACCACTCGAGGCTTTCAGAACAAATGTGACACTCAGCTCCTCCTCCTCCTCCTCCAATAAGTACTGCAAGGCTTTTTGAGATCACTATGCTTAGGTCCGACACAAACTGTGTCATACTCATACTGAGTAGGAATAAATGCTAGGCTATTCCACATTTCCTGGTCTCTCCCACTACTATCATCTGCAGAAGGAAGCACATAAAACCATCTGTAGATTAGAGTTATTCTCCTTTGCTGAAGGTAAGTCCTCACGGGAAATTTCTAGGGAATAAAAACTAATTTCATCATACTTAAGCATATGCTTACCTTCATACGAAGAAACTTATCTTACTTCAAGTGATGTGTTTTTGTGAGACGTGAGTAAAGAAGAACCTGGCAGAACCCCAATAACACCTTTGAAAATATCTTGCTTGCTTGTATTTGTGATTATACATGTATTACCTGTCCCAACTAAGTTGTAAGCTCTCTGAGGGAAGAGACCTTGTCTACTTTGTTCAGCATTATGGCCCAATGTCTACAGTACTTGGTATATAGTAAATTCTTTATAAATATTTTGAAGGAATGAACGAGATATGTGCAAAAAATATGCACAAGAGCATACGTGGCAGCATTATTTATAAAAGTGCTAGTAAACACTTGGCAGAAAAGTAAATATCCAACAGTAGGGGATTTACTTAAGTGTGGCTCATCTATATTATGGGGTGCTATGCAGCCATTGAAAATAATGGAGTGGAAGAATATCTAATGACATTGAAAATATTTACAATTGGGTATAATATAATGTAACATACCATAATAGTTAAAACTGTCTAAACCAAAGAAAGCTCATGTCTATGTGTTTGTGTGTGTGTAGGTAGAGAAAAATATTAAAGATATGGATATTTTGAGAAACTTTGAAGATCCCTAAATCCTAAAGACAAATTAAAACTCTGTTTTATATGCCTTTATTGAAAACTTTTAATACAGTATCATTAATTACAAAACTCAAGCTAAATAAAGCTCCTCAAGAATATTTCATGTGTTCATTATGGTAAAGTCTGGTCATTTTTATTTGTTTATTTCATTGAAGTAAAATTCACATAACAGAAAACTAACTGTTGTTATTATTTAAAAGTACTTTCACTAGTATTTAACTCCAGAGTATTTCATCACCCATAAGGGAAACTCCATCCCCTGTAGAAGTCACTTCCCATTTTCTCCTCCCCTACCCCCTGGCAACCACTCATCTAATTTCTGTCTCTGTGAATTTGTAAATTCTAGATGTTTTAAATTGAGTCATATAATATTAGTTCTTTTTCATGACACTTAGCATAATGTTTTCAAATTTCATTCATGTTGTATCATGTATCAGTACATCATTCTGGATACTTTTAAGCTTTTCTCATTAGTTTGGTTTTCAGCAATTTGAAAATGATATGTCTAAGCTAGAATACTGTGTGTGTGTGCGCGTGCGTGTGCACTTACTTTATTTGGTGTTCTACAGTCTTCTACAATATGTGATTTAGTGTCTCATTAATTTGGGGAACTATTTGTCAGCTGCTTCTTCAAATGTTTTCTCTAACCCCTTTTCTCTCTTTTCTTTCTGGATTACAAGTGCATCTGTGATAAGCTGTTTGATACTGCCACACTTACATACTTAGACTTACATTGCCACACAGATCTTGGGTATGCTGTTCTGGTTGGTTTGTTTTCTCACTGTTTTTCCTTGTATTGTTCAGTTTGGTTAACTTCTGTTGACATTTTCACTTCATTAGTCTTTCCTGGGCTGTGTTGAATCAACCCATGAACTCATAGATGAAGCACAGTTCATATGTGGATTACTTAAGCTTTTTTGTGGTACTGGAAATGGAATCCAGGGCCTTGTAATGCTAGGCAAAGCTCTACCATTGAGCTACAATCCCAGGCCTTTTTATTTCATGACAAGGTCTCAATAAATAAGTTGCCCAGGCTGACCTCAACTTGAGATCCTCCTGCTTCAGCCTCCAGAGTAGCTAGAATTACAGACTTGTAGCACTACACTTGGCTTGTACTTTTGATGGAATGTCTAAGCAGGCTTTTCACCTAAGGTCACAAATGTTTACTTCCATATTTTTCCAAGAGTTTCTTAGCTGTTATACTTATGTCTGTGATCCAGTATGAGTTAATTTTTGTGTATGGTGTGAAGAAAGTCGAATTTTCTTTCATCCTTTCTTTGCATGTAGATATCCAGTTGTCCTAACACCATTTCTAAAAAAGATGGTTCTTTCCCTATTAAATTGTGGTACCCTAGTTGATAATCAATTATCTATAAATTTGAGCATTTATTTCTGGACTCTTGATTCTGTTCCATTGATCTATTATCTTTGCCAAATTCTTCTAATTCTATTACATTCTCGTTTTTTAAAAGATATGCTCATTTCATTAGTTTGATTAAAATTATGGTGATGTATTTAGTTACAAGCTTCATCGGCTCCCTGGCAACATTTTTCTGATTGGTGCTTTTCTTTTTGTTTTTGTTGTTCCATTCTCCTTTTCATCTTGTAGTATCTTATTCCTTTTTGAGACTATCACTGAGGTGAATTGTTTCTAAATAAGCTTTTTGCAGAATGTTTATGTGCATATGGCAGTGAGGCATTAGGAGTGAGTTTCAGGCTAGCAAGAGTACTCTTTATTATGGAAGATTAATTGTGTATGTGAGTTTTTAGGATAACTTCTATCCAGTATACTGAGATCAAAGCTGCAGGGTTATTTTCATTTCAGAGGATCTTTCCTTGCCTCCTCCGCTTACAAAGCAAGCTCTAACTGCAAAAATGGCCTGTGATTATTTGTTCATGTCCCATTTTTTCCACCTTTTTTTTTCCTTTTTGGTACCGGGGATCGAACTCAGGACCTTGCACTTGCGAGGCAGGCGGCAGCACCACTGAGCTACATCCCCGGCTTTCCCACCTTTTGAGACTTGTGTTGAAAGGAATCCAACAAAGCCACTGATGCCAGCTTATATTAATTGACCTATTGCTGTTGTGAATGGTTGTGTTTTAATATCAAAGTGTGATCCTTATCCTGGAAAAGTATGTTCTCCTGGACTTTTCTGAAATCTGAAGGCAGCCACTCTTTGTGTCTTTTGATGCCTCCTTGACATTGACTGCACTTACTCTGCTTTGGTTTTCATAGCTTCAGATATTTACTAGACTAACTAGGGTTTCTGTTCTGCCATTGATACATTGGGATGACTTCTGAAAGAAGCAGAAATAAATGCCAGGCTTTTCTCTACTATGTTAAAAGCTGGTCATTTTTTGGAGCTCTGTGAAAGGCACAGTGAGTAACCATCTACCTTAGGAGTTGGCAAACCATGGCCCATGAATAGTCTGGCCTGCGGTCTACTTTTGCAAATAAGGTTTTATTGGAATATACATATTAAAAGCCAATCACTTTCTATGATGTATCATTTCCTTATAATTCTTTCCTTTTACTTCATCCAGTTGAATTACCATTTAACTTTGTGTAGCACACATTCTGTTGCCTTTAATTATGGAAGCTCCATCTTCTTGTGTTTGTTTTAGTATGCCAAACTTTTTGTTCCCACTTTCCTCTAGAATCTACAGTCAATTTCTTTCAAAAGCAAGTATTTTCTCTGAGTTTTGTGACTTTTGTTTCCTTCTTGTTCTGCAATATTTTTATAGATTGTATTCCTGTTTATTACTCTTACCCTTACCCTCAAACACATGGCACATCACGGGGACCTTGAGCTGCGTTGGCGCGTTGGGTCGGGCAACATGCTCTCAGGCCAACTCTCATTCCACTTGGGGGGTGCTGAATTCTCTTCGCAATATAACAACTAGAATAAAGATTTAGGTAAACTAATCCTAGTCCAATTTCTAGTTTCTACTGATATTTTATCTGTCTTCTACTATGATGTAAAACCATGTTGGGGCAGGGTAAACTGGGATTGGAACCCATGTTAATAATTTAATTAAGATTTTGACTCTTAAAATCCTACTACTGTAACTGAGACCAAACTAATTCCTTTCATTTCCTTAGGAAGATAGTAATTGGGTGAAAAAACAGGAAACAGACCCCAATTAAATAGTTATGGAATGACATAACCCAAACTGGTAATAGGCCTGGAGTTTGAAATAGTAATCAAGAGAAACTTTAGTTATAGCCACATTGGTTGAATTTTTGTAATAATATCATCTTCTTGTATTACATGTGTGACACAAATAAATTTAAAACATTATAGTTAATTCATAAATCTCAACCCAAGAGCTTAAAGAATAGTTTCTTTAAAAAGTCAATAAAATAGATAACCAAATACAATGTAAGAAATTTTACATATACAAAATGTGAACTAAGAAAGGAGGTATAATCACAGGTACAAAGAAAATTAAAAGAATTATAATTCCCCTGGTGACACCTAAGCTGCTAATCTCCTCAAACTCTTCACATAGGCATAAGATACCTGGCCAATATTAGGACTTTTTCAGCACCCCAAATAGACTAGTTTCTTGCCTCTGAGATCTAATATGAATTTGGGGGTGGGGCAGGGTACAATGTTACTGTCTGACTATGTTTCCCTTCTATCTTTTCCCTTAGCCCTCCCACTTCCTTCCCCTTTGCCCCTTTTCTTCCTATTTCACATGACC